CTTCAGAACCATAGCTCGTGTGGGTTGGTGTCAGCGAATCCGTAACGAGGCAGTTAGAAAGCGTGTTTTCGGTTGTGTAACGGTACTTCCATTTTGCACTCAGCCCCAGAACTGAACGCGCTCATCTCGACTGGATTCCGATGAACTCTTATCTTTGCACCGTCCGGTCATCCAGCTTCGTAAGACTCTATGCCTCCCGATATACTCAATCCTTGTTTGTAGTGTCGTTAAATGCCCCAACGGACCGCAATTATGACGGTGAGAAAGATCCTTTACTGACTTGTCCGTGCTCATTCGTCAGGCGTTGTGATCCTTACAGCCTATATGAGTGCCCGAGTCGGTCGTCTCTGTTCCCTGGAATCAGTCCTGAGTGGTCGATTCGGTCGACTGCCGTTCTTTCTGGAGCGCATGAATTGATTCCGGTCATTGTCCCTTCAAGTTCCCGCAAGTCTGCAGAAACGTACCCATCCACCATCCTCAGAGAACCGTCATAGATCACCAGTATCAATCTGAACTTGCTCAACCACTCTCTACAATAGATCGGCAGTGGACTGGCAGTGAATAGATGGATGAGGCATGGCAATATGTGAAAGGAGCTATGCTAGCGGCGTTCAGTGATGTCTGTCCGGCTTCTCCGGCCACTAGAGATCGTCGAGGGGCGAGATGGCCCAAGTGGTTAGAGCGCGAATTTACTGACCGGAAGGTTCGTGGTTCGAATCCGACCTCCGCCACTCGACTTCCCCTGTCTAGGCTTGAGCAACCTGGCAGTATCCTAGCCCTCGTGCTTCCTTCGGGTGGCATGGCAGTTAGGCACCGGAAGGGTGCTACAGCTGAACGCTTTCTTTCTTTCTTTCTTTTCAGAGATCATCGAGATAGTTATATATTGTTGGTACTGAGAAATCCACACCACCAGGCAACGACTACGATAGTGCCGAATAGTGAAGAGCCTAAGGGAGGGCTAAGCTCTTTGGTATACATCGAAAACTCAGAAGATGGAGAAAGCTTTTTCCGCCGGAAACAGCCGTGGCATATACCAATTAATACGATTAAGTGGCTACGTGACTGATGACTAGTGAAACATAGGTGAAAAATACGGCTTGTTAATTCACTCGCAAAACCACCGACTGGAAGCATGAGTCGAACACCCCAAAGAGCAGTTTAGCTGACCTACTACAACACAACCTCTGGAGGCAGTTCCTAATGGCGAATGGATTTTAAATCCTGATCGTCCATCCGAATAAGAGATAAAGTAGGAAGTATCCGTTCTGAAACTTGAAGAATCACCAGGGCCGGACGGTCTGTATGCACCCCTATTCGAAGAAGGCACAGAATCCCTGATGACCTATGTAACAAAGCCTACTGGCGCCACATGGATTGAAGAGAAAATGCTTGTGGAATGACGCATTTCGACAGGAAATGGTGCGCGGCGCCTTGCAAAAACTACCGTACAATAAGCCTGGTAGCTGTTGCATCGCAGGTGCTCTGTGGTCTTATCCTTCGAAGGTTGGCAGAACGCACAGACAAATCCGCGAAAGCCAAGCGGGATCCTGTCCTTCAAGAGGATAAATCTGTCATATTTTCACCCTATGACAGATCACGGAACAGCGAAACTGCTTCCAGCAACCAAAAATGATTGTCTTCCTTGACTTGAAAGCTGCCTTTGACTCTTTGGATTATCAGGCACTGTGGCAGTGTCTATGGAGCAAAGGGATCTCCCATGAGTTCTTGACCCTCTTTAAGGCACTTTACGCCAACTCCCGCGGACGAGTGAAGGCTTACTTGGAGCTCTCTCTTGAGTTCACCCCATCAAGTGGTATCCGACAAGGTTGTCCTCTTTCAGCTTTCCTGCTCAACTTCGGCATTGATAATAATAATAATAATAAATGACAATAGTTCAACTGTAACATCCTCTCGGTGCCTAGCTGCCATGCCACCCGAAGGAAGCACGAGGGTTGGGATACTGCTAGGTTGCCCAAGCCTAGACAGGGTAATTCGGGAGGCAGAGGTCGGGTCCAAACCACGGCCCTTGCGGTCAGTAAATTCGTGCTCTTACCAGTTGAACCATTTCGGCATTGATATGACTATGAAAGACTCACTATCAATTTCTAATGCCTGTGGGGTCTAAGTGCTCCTGAGGCGTTCGTTCACATATATCGAATACGCAGACGATATAGCTCTTCTTGGATCTGGCTCCGTGGTAATGCAAACAGTAGTAAATAATCTGAACAAATCTGCCTCATCGTTTGGTATGCGCCTCACACCGCCAAAGTGTAAACTGTAAAACTGGGTGGATTCGAACCCTAACTTCACACTATCGGATGACGCGATTCAGGTAGTAGGCAGGTTTGTTTACCTGAGCAGCTGTATTAGTCCCAGTGGTCTCAAGAAAAATGATATTTCCATCCGGATTGGGAGGGCTAGAACAGCTCTTGTGAACCTGCGTCACACGTCAAGGGTCGAGTTTAGAATGCTGCGGTGCGCTCCGTATTACTCTACGAATCAGAAACTTGACCGCTACGCGCTGAGGACCTCAAAAGTCCTTCAATGTTTGTCTATGGATGTCTTCGGAGCATTGCCCGGGTCTGCTGGGAACACCCGATCAGCAATGCTAAAGTGCATTGAATGGTTTTTGGAGGAAATAACTCACCCACGTAGATGAACTAATCACACTCCATGAGTTGCCTTGGTTTGGCCACGTGCTCCATATGCCAGTCCGACTCTTTCGAGGGGCTCCTTTTGACAACCACGTGATTTGTGGGGAAGGTCAAACAATGACTTTTCAGCAAAATGTGGAAGCCATTCGATTACTGAGACCAGTTTCGAGGGCAGAACTCTGCTGGTGCAGCATAGTCGATTAGGGCGTCATCAACTGACCATCGTCTAAGGATTTTCCCAACAGTTCGGAAAGTGCTTTAAAAGTCTACTTTGTTGGACACTTCAGGAATCGCGGACCCCCAGACGGTCTGGTCATCCACAAACAGTAGAACTTTCTCCGCAGCTGTGGACGCGATGTATTAATCACTCAGTACACACGTTTTCTGTTTCAATTCCGTCCCTGAGTTGTCCTTTATGGTGAGAACTGGCGCATTTAATTTCGGGAGTACTTCATGCTTCCATACGTTTAACAGAACCATCGTTTTGACCGTCGAACTCCCAGTCTATTTCTTCCGATTGTCGATTACTTCACAGTGACTTTTACCTAGAGGGCTATTCATTGGTCGCAAGAATTTTCCTAACCTGCTATTAGCTATCTACTGAACACTGTCTCAACTACGGTTTGGGTATCTTGGCTATCCTTGCTTGGCTGCCGCGTGTAAGTAGCTCCTTGAAACCTTGTGGGGATCTTGTGTTAGGTGGCTGAAGGAAGGTCTGCAGTGGGATTTTACCCGGATACGTCACATCGATGGATGCCAGTCGATGTGATCCCCTTCCCATATTCCCTTCAACTCTGTTCTCCATATTGCCATGGAACAACCCTTTTAAGCCTCTGATGCCTCCTGGCTATTCGCTTGTAGGCATTCAGCGCATAGCTGACATAGGCTATTCTGCATTGGTCCTCATTAAAGAACCTACTGTTGCACGATTTAGCTCAATAGCTCTAGTGTTAAAATCTATTGCATCACTAGGGTTAGTCCTAGGTAGCATTTCGAGTGATTTTGCGTCGACGGAAACCAGACTGAAACCGTTTATAGCACGGCACGGGTTTTTTCTCCCAGTTTGTTCCCCGCTGCAACATTCGTTGGCAGATGTCCTGTCTTTCTTGACAGCCTTCCACTAATGATGCGATTATGAACTTAAAATACAACAATCTAGCATCCCTATCTTAACGTGCACACCGGGCTATTTCTGATGGACGATGTGAAGCAAGGTAACTCGCTCCTTCATTCTATCAGTTCATCTCCGAAAAATTAGCTTTAGAAATCGAGTTGAATCGGTTGAAATTTTTGGTTGAAAAGTATCGTCGTGAAAGACCAGTGGTATGTTGTGCTCCATCCCCACCACGTTGTTGTGACTACGAATGTCATCACGGATGCACAACAGGTCACCATTCTCTAATTCATGCCGACTGTGATCATCCTTACGGTCATCGTCTGTGTCACAGCCCATCATGTTGCAGTGAGTCGTGACTTATTAACAATTCTCTCCCCAGATAGGTCATCATGGTCATCGATTCGACCAACTGCCCCACTCTGGCCCGAAAAGATTGAGGGAACCCCGCATAAAAGGTGGGCTGTATCTGATTTTTCATTCAAATGACTTAGCAGTCGAGTTGTAGATGAAAACGGGCCCACAGACTCCATCGCCGTTTGCAGAGACTTGATAGAGAGACGCAGATTCCAGGAAGCATTCCTCCGGTTACAGTATTATGTTTTTCATATGAAAATATTTTTCGCAGCGAATTCTATAGACATTATTATCCGGCTGACGGTGAAGTCGTCATTGAACTACGGTGAGTGTGGAAAACAGTTCGACTTGTCGCGAGGCCAACTGAAATCAGTACTAGTTTTTCGAATTCCCATGTTTCTAACAGCTGTGGCGAATTGTGTCTATGTTACAGACCAAATTAGATACGGAGACTTCGATAATTTCGAGCACGAATTCATTTAAACGACACAGGTGAAATGACGGGCGTGGTCAAGGCTGGAATTCGCATTCCTTTACTTGTCTAAGTCGTCCTTTGTCAAAGTGATCTACTACAATCGCAAGCCCGCATCGTATATTTGTATTCGGTCTCGACACTGATCCTCTGTCTGTTGGGCTAACACTTACCGTATCCCAGTGAATCCCACGATCGCCCAGTCGTTTACGTAGTCAAGATAACCAGATGTTGGTTTGAACTGGTGTGCTCGGCTAATTATGCAAAAGTAACACGTCTCTTCCACAGAGTCCCGTAAAATGCCTGCCTTAGTTGGGACGGTCTTCATCCTAAGCTAATATGAGACATGCAGTCGCGTCTCCTTACTATCTCTATAGGTTTCTTCCGTATGGGAATCATCTATGATGCTGACAAATAAAATAACAACTGTTTTTTTTTGCTTCTTTGGACTACATTGACCGTTAATCGATTGTAGAGCGAGTGGACATCCCGAATGAACTAATGTGTTTGTTCAGTTCTGATACCCCGTTCCGTACTATGCCGTAATTAATTAAAATAACCTCCAACCGATGTAAATATACCGATCCGCCGAAGATGTAGCGAACGTCTTCATCAACCTATTTGTAATTGCTGTGAGCAACCTTCAGAGCTGAGTTCTCCGGTAAAGGTTGACCATACTTAGTCCGCTTAAACTAGTTCTCCTGATGGGTTGAATACTATGAAGCAGTGTTTTAGATTGGACGCTGGTATCCCACTTATTCGCTAAAACAAACTGCACGTTTATCGTAGAAAATCTAGCCTGAGCGGCTGGACGGACCTACATCAGCAGTATACAGGTTATCCTGGGATCTTCAAAGACAACTTCAGGAAAATGGCATCTCACCTACTAACAACTACGAAGTTACGAAACTTTTAGTGGTTGATCAACGAAATGTGCAGGAGTGTCCCTGTATTATGTAATACAACTAAGCGTCGTCTTCCTCTGTATGTTTGGCAAAAACCTTTCAGCTGAAGTCACCACACATATTCCACCATTACGGTGCATTAAATTTTGCTCATTTGTCTTCGTGAATCCCAGTTTTATTGTTTTTTATATTGTTTGCGCAGAGCTCTCCGTGCAGCTTACGAATACACCGGAGGATGCAATCCTGCTCTGTGTGTTTCCCTGGATCGTACATTGGGTGAGGCGCTCAAAGTAGATGCTGCTCGACGTCTATGGGGGTCACATTCGCGTGTAAATGAATTTGATCGTCGCTATTGGGATATCCCGTACTATTCCGTATCTGGTGAGTCAGCTTTGCCAGTGGAATGAAATCCACATCAAAATGACGTGTTCAGAATCTGTCCAAACCCTTATTTGGCAAAGTTTTTTTCTTCAGACCCCTATCTCTAAGACAGATGAAGAGTCTGCCTCTGCCGTTCTACGTCCAATGAAACATCTGTAATGGGCTTCATATGAGGTTAGCCCTACTCCATGGAACAGTCAATGTCCTCGCGGGATGCGTTGCAGATCACTAATAAAGATATCCATTTTTCCAGCGCAGTACTTAATATCTACTATCGTAGGGTCACTAATCTGCTTTTACTTGGTTGTTGTCGACAAGTGGCGCGACAACCAACTACCTCGCTCAAAATGCTTGCTGACGCACGAGCTCATACTGGTGCATTACTAGTGACATGTCCACCTCAAATGTCAGATGAACGTAATTCGACCCCCAACGGTCTAGGAAATGTACCACTGATGAACCCTTTTAGTAACTGTATCATGTTCACTGTTTCTTTACCCATACTAACTAACAGCGCAACATTACTCTTGATATCATTATCATCATCGACAGCATGACGTCATTGTTCAACACTGTTGCTTTGCTGCCGTACCAGAATGATCTATTTGAAAGCCCCACTGTGAAGAAAAGGATAAAAGTGGGCAGAGAAGGGACTTGGTGCAAGCTTACTACAATCACTTCGAGGTGCTTACACCTCCACGCATTCACTCAGACAATCTGGATGGCAACTGACAACAAGAACGCCTTTGGCATCGATTAGCAGCCATATCTCACAGCGTCTCCAACCAGGCGCAGTGGGGATCACGCGGTTTCCATCCTGGAAGGCGAGCAGCACTGACATCACCTAGGCGTTTCGTAACCTCCTTCATACCCCTCTGCCAGGTCAAGGTTTGGACACCTCTCTACTTCCAATACTCTGGACTGGACGCGGAAGACTGCACCCTCTTCGACAAACGATGGTTTGACATACACAATACATAGCCTAACCAACGAAGCTCATGGTGCTGGACACATTCTTCAATGGAATCCCCATTGCACAACCGAAAAGTGGGCTTCTGAGTGCCTCGCCACGGACTCGCCAATTCTCAGTCACACAACAAAACAGCCTGTACTGTAGCGTGATAGGCACATCCTGGAGATTCAGGGATATACCGCTTTGATGCCAAAGGTGTGCCAAATTAGCAAACGCGACCCTGGCCTTGGAGATTCGTGTATCGACCTCATCTGTCACACTACAATCAGAACTAAAACAACTTCCAAGATAGGTAGGACACCCCACAAGCTCCAGTGCCTCTTCCTGGAATGTAAGTAGCGTGTTCAGTGGCTGCATGTCCACGAGCATGGCGTTACAATTTGTGGACGCAAAGTATTTGCCGGAGGATGGGATGATTTTGGTCAATTCATCCAAAAACACCTGCGCCTTTTCTTCGGAGTCTACAACGACCTCATCTCCATGTTCCATATCGACAATGTTTTCGTTAGCTGCTAACTTGAACACCGGGCTTTTGAAGACCTTCCAGCATCTGTCGCATTATTTCATCGATCACCAAATTAAATAGGAATGGAGAGAGTGGCACCCCTGACGGACACCGCTTTGTGTACTGCAGCATTTGGAGAGATCTCTGTATACTCTCACGTCCGGAAGTCCGATAATACAAAGAACTCATTATGTTCGCAAGCTTCCGGGGCATTTTTTGATGGTTAATTGTGCCAAGGAGAACAGACTGGTCAACCGATGGGCGGTAGCTGGTGGCCATGATGACTGTCGTTCGAAATATTCCGCCCAACGTTCGAGGCTTTCTTTATTCACGGTAGTCGCTCCATCCTAATCCTTGATAGTTCCTCTCCCACGTTGTTTTATGGGTCCAGATGCACCTCGTGGATCGGAGTTGTATTTAGTGTAGCCTTCAGGATCATTTTAGCACCCCCAACTGAACACCACATCAAGCTCACATCTTTAGGTAGGGATAATGGAGCGTTCTTTCCAGGTGACTAGTATTTCCATGCATATGACAGCATTGATGTTATCTTCTCTGTAAATAAAGATGACTTATAAAAGGTCGGCCATAAAACCACGCATTCCGATCGTTCAGCACTTGATAGCCGATCAAAATGTCCTTACAAACCAAAGGCCCGGGGGATCAAAACCCACCTGGTGTGTACGGCAGCAACAGGACTGAGACGATTGCCCGCCCTCACCCCATGCGTCCTTGGACAAGTTCAGTCCCCTTCACAGCCAAGTGTGTCTGACCCTCGAATCGTCAGCCTAGGTAAAGCTGCCCCAGAAGGAGAGTAGGCGATTGAGCCAAAGGACAAAGAATAGTCGTAAGGTATTGAAGATTTGAAGATTGCCGCAGTGAGCAACCACAAACAAGGGACGGTGAAAACATACCAACTTTGCTGGGAGACCTAAAACGTTTGAATCCTTCTTAACAGGGTCGGAAGTGAGAGAACCAAAAGCTTCACAACCCCTGTTGCCAGAGTGCCGAATCCTGCTGACTGAGTTGTTCTCAGTGACGTATCAAGAAAGAACAAAATAAACTTGTTAAACATTCTAGTGATCCGAAAATTTACAGGGTATTTGACGGGAACATCGGTTGGTATTTGAGGTGACCGATCAGTTGAATGGAAGGACCGAAAAGCGCTTTCTCACTGGTCAAAATTTTAGAGTCAACGTCCTCGAACAAAACACTGTATGTTCCTTGTCCTCTGATGTCACTTTTCTACCCCGGGGTCATTTGATTTTCAGTTATCTGACCGAGCACCATGTTGCCTAAATCCATGGGATCCTTTCTTCATAGGAGCTTTTAACTTCCGTACTCTATATCAAATTACTCACTGAGACCTTCTACTCTGGTAAAACTGATGTGCGCATATAAGACCAAAGCGCAGTCCTTCATCTCAACACGCCAAATTCACTCTCCATAAGTTCAGTGATCCAGAAGCAGTGACTCATGGAAGTAGCACTCAGCCCCAGGGCTGGACGCGCTTTGCTGGATTGAATCCCAATAAACAGTCATCTGTGCACCGTTCGGCTATGCAGCTCAATCAAGCTCAGTGTCTCTCGACATAACAAAGGAGTGCCTCTTTGGAGTATCGGTATATGACCTAACGTACTGCAGTCCTGACGCTTGGACAGATACCTTCCATTAAGAGTTATCCAGATTCATTCGTCAAGAAAGAAACACTGACATTGTGTTCCTTGTGGGCGGTCGTCTGAGCTGCTTGGAATCAGACCTTCGCAGTCGATTCGTAGTCAATGCTCGACTCGAAAACAATGTGGAGTGGCTCCCTTAATTGTGTGCTTATCATCCGCTTTTTCTGGCTCATGCGGACCTTCACGTAAACTTTCAAATGGTGTTACCTGACGGCCACAAAGTGCAAGCCAACGATCGACCCCGTTGGATCACATGGCCATCAGCCACTGGTGGAGAGCCATATTCAAGACTGCCGTTACTTCCGGGCACATAATTCGATTCAGGTCACACCGTGGTGCTTGCACGTCTGACAGTTCGCTCTCCTTCAGGCACTCCACAGTTAACCAGAACCACGCCAGTCCGTTGTCTTCTAAGAACTACCATAGCTCAACAGTACATATCTTAGCTAGCCTAACTACGATGATCATTGGTTTGTTCGCTGAGCTGGGCAATTTACTGCAAACGTTTCATCACCAATCGAGGTGACGTCATTGGTGCGTTGTTGGGGAGCGTAGTGGTGTATGGAGATGGGTCGGTGGTTGTGCGTTGAGTAGTGTTGTATGTGTTAATATACATGCTGCTAGACGGGGCTAGCCACTTTCGACACTTTCCGCTGACAGCGAGACATTCGCTGCCATGCTGTTTAACTTGTTATCACAGAAAGTAAGTGTTGGGAGTGTACCATGAAATGCAACTAGTGTTTCGGCCTTGAAGTTGGTGGATACCTATATTTAAAGAACCAATAGGAGCTTAGGCAAACGAATGATTCGTGAAAACAAGATCCACCAGACAGAAGGTCTCCGCAGCAATCCGGGCTACGGGTTGGCTGAAAAATACCGGTAAAAATCCTACTGTCCAACAGCAAACAAAACTATGCACGAAGGTCCCAAGCGGTAGTCGTATCAGATGACTAGCGTTTGCATTTGATCGATAAAATACCTAGCTATTTCTGTTGTTGAACGTAGCTCGATCGTCTTTTGTGGTATCGTGTATGCTTGGCTCGATGGGTTTCAAACTATCCACACACTCCGACCTGAGAGCTTTTGGATACGGACAATTCAGAACTAATGGATTAGCAATAGTCTCTTATTCACCCGTCTTTTGTTTTGACCTTGAGGATTTTTTAACTGAGATTCATGAGCACACAACATTAAAACGACAGCATCAACACCGATGCTACTTTATTGATTGTTTACTGATCGTGATTTCGGTCATAGCGCAACCAGTCCGATGTGAACACCAACCAAGTGATTCTATGTTTTACCTTTCAGATGCCGCATTGAACACGACTCATCGAGCCAGGGATCTCGAAAGGATTAATCGTGAATCTGACCGCATTCGGGATGAACTGGAAAGCTTGCGAGCAAATCAGGAGGAGCGGGCGAAACAATATGCTCGAATGAATCCTCCGTGAACTGAACAAACGTGTCCCCGTCCTTCTGCAGATATCTATTATTATTTTTGCTTTCCTGTAACTTATTACTACATTTTGTGCTAATAGCTAAACTATTTCGACAACTCGGCTCTCTAAATGCGAAAAAAAACAACCCACAAAGTTTGCACAATAAGCGCAGTATGCAAGTAGATGAAATGTGTGAATTAAAACGTAACCCTACTTGTACCGTAATATGCGCCTCTCAGTTGCCCGAACTTTTTCGGTATACAGCAACCCCCCCCCCCAGAGTGGGGTTACCACGACTAAGTAGGCGCCAGATAGGTGATGTGTGTGAAATTGACCTCGATTTGAATGGCTGCTCCGTTGCATAAGCAGAGAAGGCACAAAACTACTGACCGGAAGGTTTATGGTTTGAACCTAACCGTGTCTTCTCGATTGCTCCTTTCTGAGCTTTGGCAGAAGCGTTAGTACTTCGGTTCCCAAGGCTCACGCCGGCTACGCACCGGAAGAGTACCACAACCGAAGATTTATATTTCCAGAGCAGCCACGGTGCGTGATGACTAACGCCCGCATCGAGGGACCGGATAAGCAAGACAGTGAATGAGGAAATCTTGTTTGAAATTCCTAATCGCAAATTTATTGAATACAATCATTTTTTCGTGCTCGAAGTTTGGGGCCATCGTTCAGCTAGACTAACCAACCAAGTCCTGAGTAATTGTACACTCAAAACAGCTCATTGATCGGAAACGTTTACCTGCTGACAAGCCTGCGCGCGACAACAGCTACACTTCCTCCACAAACCCCTGCTTAGCTGCTTTCCATTTCTAAGAACTTATATAGTTGCGACAATAAGTTGAGGAATTAAAACACAATCGCGCCTGCTGGCCAAACGTTTGCAGACCGATTCCCAAGCTCAGCGAACAGACTAACATCCTATAAACTCACCTGATCTACCACTATGTTGACATTGCCAATTTCAAGACCATCTTGTGTCCCCCCCCCCCCAGAGTGTGGTTACCACGACTAAGTAGGCGCCAGATAGGTGATGTGTGTGAAATTGACCTCGATTTGAATGGCTGCTCCGTTGCATAAGCAGAGAAGGCACAAAACTACTGACCGGAAGGTTTATGGTTTGAACCTAACCGTGTCTTCTCGATTGCTCCTTTCTGAGCTTTGGCAGAAGCGTTAGTACTTCGGTTCCCAAGGCTCACGCCGGCTACGCACCGGAAGAGTACCACAACCGAAGATTTATATTTCCAGAGCAGCCACGGTGCGTGATGACTAACGCCCGCATCGAGGGACCGGATAAGCAAGACAGTGAATGAGGAAATCTTGTTTGAAATTCCTAATCGCAAATTTATTGAATACAATCATTTTTTCGTGCTCGAAGTTTGGGGCCATCGTTCAGCTAGACTAACCAACCAAGTCCTGAGTAATTGTACACTCAAAACAGCTCATTGATCGGAAACGTTTACCTGCTGACAAGCCTGCGCGCGACAACAGCTACACTTCCTCCACAAACCCCTGCTTAGCTGCTTTCCATTTCTAAGAACTTATATAGTTGCGACAATAAGTTGAGGAATTAAAACACAATCGCGCCTGCTGGCCAAACGTTTGCAGACCGATTCCCAAGCTCAGCGAACAGACTAACATCCTATAAACTCACCTGATCTACCACTATGTTGACATTGCCAATTTCAAGACCATCTTGTGTTCTGTGGTTCGTTATTTTGGATTGTCACATGCGCTTTGGAACAGAAAAACTGCGAATACCGAATTCTGTGCTCTTCACGCTGTACCATTTTGGTTTCTGTTTCAAACAAGGAATACTCCTTAGTGGTGCTCTCAAACCGTATCTGCGGTTTTGATGAAATATATTGGGTTACACTCATTTGCAAATCAATTTGGTTTTCACGAGAGACTGAACTGAATCTCTCGTTTATGATATTCTGCAACTGAATGTGCTGCACACAGGCCGCCTCATGATTCAGTTGGCGCGATATTCGAGATATCGCAGTATATTTTCATAAAGAAACAGTCCAATTTGAATTCAAGTAGAACATAAGGTTGACGGAAACTCGGGGACTGCACCTACCTGATGAGCCCCAAAAAGGGCGAAACCGGTCGTGGGCTGTCGAAGAGTTTTCAGCAACCTTGTGAGTAGTTTCCTTTATGAAAATATAGGGTTATACTTCCGAGGGTGTCACCATAGCGCAAGTCGGATTTCGCCTGCCCTGAGGTTTGACTCTTTTCAACAGAAATGCGTTCGGTCGAATATTAGTTTAATGGATCAGGGGAAGTTGCAAAATAATTGTGTAAGTTGCCCGCAAAGATTTTTTCGTAACAAAGTACTCAGTATTCAACGAGCTTATCTCCTAGCATCACTGTATAGCACCTCGTGCACCAAAATGGTCGGAGACACCATAACAGGAGAGAGTTCTCGTTGACTCGGTTGCTAAACGCTTCTTTTGAAGTGCAGTACCCCTTGTCTCGTGCTACCGCAAGAAAGTCAAGCAAATTCAGTCGCATTAGAAAAGTGCTTGTGGTATGGGTGGATGGGGGGTAACCTTTGCTTGCAACTGCCATGTGCAACCACACGTTCGTATTAAACGATCGATAGTCGCACTTCGTGGACTCCGTCGGTTGTCGTAGTGATGAGACCAGTTCGCGTCCAGAAATATCTAAATGTGTTGTTGCGGTTACACCAGTCCTCCTGGCCACAGTTACAGCCTATCTACACCCACCCACTTTTGAGTCAGTGGCATGCTGTGTCAGTGTAGTTTGTTCGATCGCTCAGCAGCTTTCGTCGTTGGTTCCACACGATCATCAAGCTCGTTTGACTGTAAGATGAATGGGGATTGAATTTCCTGCTTGTTTAGTCAACGCGATGAAGTTTGTCACCAACCGAGAGCAGTCAAATGTCCCACAATCCTTGTGGAGAGTATGGTATCTCAAGATTGTGAGGCTTAGATTTGATCAGGTCGACTATATATCATTACCAGGCGGCCATTTTTGAACCTGAACTCGAGATGGCTTACTGTTTTCTGGCCGAAAGCTCCGTGGTTCGACCCTCCTCCACATCTCGACTACTTCTAGGCTTTGGTAACCGGGAAGTATCTCGGCCCTTCAGGTGGTATGGTAGCTAGGCCCCGAAAAGGAGTTTCGGATGGACGGTTATTTTCAACCTGCCGCGCACAAATGGTGACTCCGCGATTGGTTTCCAAGTTGCTTGTCAGGGGTGGCAAACAAATCAACATCTGATCCACGACAAATGCATGCACCCGATCTACTAATGTTACCATTTTGTCAGGATCAGGAACCCCAAACTGGAGTCACTACTAGGGGGTTGGAATCAGTGTAATACATTCCCCGCTACTCTACTAAGTTGCATTGCCCATTTGCTTGTGGCACACGCCAAGCAACCATCTCTCGTCGATTACCAACTAGCCACAAGTGTTGATTCAGTTCTCAGCTGATGACGAAATTGTACACACCCTGGTTGCGGAATACCTGGTGGCTCTTTCACTTCGAAGCAATTCAAATGCTCAAGGAGAAAACAAAACTCATCCTAGTAGGTAGTGCTTTTTCCTTGGATGTTTTCTAAGTGTGCTACACAAACACCTGAGAAGTTCGCATACAAATTGGAATACAGTGGTGACAAGGAAAGGTAGCAAAAGTGCATTCGTCGTCGTCTTAGTATAACAATAGGGAAGTGCATGTACCACTTGGTCATGCAGCCTTCTAAATGGAGGCAACTGGTTTCCGTCGCCAGTTTTACACGTTTCACTTTGTACTCATATTTGTCATATTTATCAGCGTTTTCTTCGGAATGCTGTGTTGCCTCGCTTCGGAAACAGCCTACTCTATTCTCCTAAACGTTGTTGTTTGTGGGTTTTATGGACGCTTCAGCAACCGGTTCTCATCTCTTTGAGTTTGTCTTTAAGTGATTATTCTCCCCAACTCTTGAAGTTACACTCCTTTTCGAATCAGGATGGTGCTGCCGTCGCAATCAACTTAATTCCTCCTTTATGCTAAGGGACCGATACCTTTCATCAGGCTTGTAAATAGAATCACATCGATGAAAAATACTTCGATGTAACGAAATCAGCCCAAATTGGAAAGATGACAGCCTTTATGTGGCATACAGTCATCATCATCATTGTCAGCTGTAATAACCGCGTACTCGTCGTACAGTGGTTGTAGCTGCCGCAGTTTCGTTCACTGATGATTCGCGGAGGGGGTAGATAGCCGCGCATTGCAAGCAGGAGCTGATAAATTTGTGCGTAAATCCAGCAATGTCAGTGGGCTGTCAAGTGGGGCGGGGGGTTGGAAAAGGAACTATGCATTGAAGGCAATAGCTTGGATGCACCAGCGCCATTGAGGGCGCGACTGGGCCATGTCTGATAATGTCTCTAACTATTGATGTGGCCCGTCTCGGGGTCCCCATCCAGGAAGACGGCAGCGACCAGCGCAGCTGAGTTTGCTGGTAATGGCTTTCATACCATCCCACCCATCCATTTGGATCGGAGTTCCAAATGAATGGATGGCCTCACGCTCTTTACGAAATCAGCGGAAGCTGGAACACAAACTCGTTTAACTTTGGTCGTCTAAATTCGAGACCCGATTTCAAGTGGGTGGCCTCTCTCAAGGGGACTTTTGCCGACCGTACAAACAGGTACTACTCGTACGAATACAATGAAATGCGAAAGCCTGAATTAGAGACCGCGTATCGACGACAGAAATCAGTACGGCGTGTGATCGGCCACTACTCCGCAAACACCCTACAGGGTACCAACAACACGCGTCTGAACAGAAGTTGACACTCGAACCTATTGTAAAGACTGGTAAGTTCCACAGAAAGATCTCACCATTCTGAAATAGCAACACTGAAACAAACTGATGAAATCGGTTTATAGCTCTCACGTGGTCTAACTTGTTCAGACAATCGCGTACACACTATCCTACAACACAGGCGTGTTCCTTGCAGGTAAGCCCGGATATGTTGGATTGGTTTGCTGATCAAAGCCAAGATGCCTCTCTTGAACCCTTTCAGCTTCTGGAGGTAAACTCGTCTGGGCGCTCACTTCCGTTTTGCCACTTAGTATCAATCCACTTCACAATATTGACGTCCGAATGCATTTACCCTACTGCACTGCTCGACAATCCATGATGAAATGTTACTTGGTGCAAGGACCTGAAACACCTCAAAGAGGACCGGATCACGTCGATTGTTTATCAACAGACGGAAGTCTGTAAAACAATTTGCGCCGACCGGAAAATTCAGGTGCCTGGGGAATGAGTGTATCCGATGGAAAATTACTGTTTGTTGATCTACTTGTTTCCAGATGCATTTGTCTCGTCCTCAAGAAACCACCTGAAGAAAGTGTTTTTTATGCTAGTGGCAACCCTACTGATGATTAAGGTTCACGCAGGAGTTCACTCTTTCCACTCCCTTCGATTGGCCTCCAAAGATGTACAAGTATGGTAGTTGGGTTTGATAAGGATTGAAATCGTTACCGGGTGATCTGAGAGTTAACTACGATCAGGTTGCAAAAAAATCGCAATTGATGAGCTCCACATCGGGTGTGTTGACGTTTCTTCTAAGTGCTGGGAGACAGTCCCGGAAATTTCATCACTTTCCAGAAGAATCCCGGAAGCGGCCTCCTTGGAGACAGTCTCAACCCCATGACAGACCGTGTTATGGATGCTTTGTGAAGGCTTATTCTGACTAGTCTGTATTAGTTGACTGAGAAAAACGTGTAGGTTATTCCTGTCCATCCAGAGACAGTCTACATTAGGTTCTCATTACTTGAGTAAAATAGACGACCCCTAAGCAAACATTTTCTTCGAGATCGTTTACCTGGAGGTTGCCTGTTTAAAATGAGTTCCCACTAATTGTACAAACGATTGAAGAGGATCAGTGACTGTACACGAGGAGTATCCAACTCTTGGAGTTAAGAAAAACCTCTTGGAGAATCGGCTCCCGTGAACCCTGGTCGTCCTCAGCTGGGGCGAGATGGCTCAAGTGGTTAGAGCGCGAATTTACTGACCAGAAGATTCAGGATTCGAACCCGACCACTACCTCTCGAATTCCCTGTCTAGGCTTGGGCAACCTGACAGTATCCCAGCCCTCGTGTTTCCTTTGGGTGGCATGGCAGCTAGGCACCAGAAGCGTGTTACAGCTGAACGATTTATTAATGTACATTCTCAGCTAACGGCACTCACTTGCGAACAGACTCGGTTTCACTCAGTAGAATTGGACTGTTCATCTCCCTCGACTGCATGAACAAAGTCAATTAGCTTAATTAATGAGCCTGGTGAAGATTGTTGGACAGCTGACTACAGGTGCCCATTTTCTTGGGCCTCACCAGGTCGGTCCAGTCCTGGCATTTTTATGTTTCATTTATTGTACAGACAATAAAATGGATATATGTAGAGATAAACACTCGCTTAAAAGAAGCCGGCATTTATTCAAAGGGAGAGCTAAATTGAGTTCTTTTTTCCTCTAATATCGCTCAACTGAATCTGCTACACATAACTTTGTACATCATTTGAAATGTTGGAGTACCTTCCGTGATCATCGAATTAAATGCTTCTGTGGTAGTTCGTGAGAAATTTTGATTATTGGAGGCATACTACTGTAGAAATTTTTGTTCGCTGAGAGTTGGAGTACGTGGGCTTTTCCCAAGCAGAACCCATGTGTGAGCTTGAGAGAACACCAAATTGTTGCCATCTCGTCAGTTGTGAATTGCGCATCCAGAGTTACTGTCGGACGTGTCATAGCAGAATGAGCACCGATGGTAGACCGTGGCTATCCATAGTTCACCAAACGCCATCGGTTAAGCCGCGTTCGAGAAAGGACACAGCTTTCGGGAATCAATGGGAGCTCACAGTGGCGCAATTTTTTTTACCACATTGGAAGACGAAGTACCCCTATTGATGACTAGATTAGTGTGACGGGTGTCCCTAGGTGTTATGTGAGCTTCGGTAATAAACTCACGTGGTCGTTTGAATGAGACGACACTCACCGCGGAGTTTTATTGCATAGCAACCTGCATGCGGCACACTTTGGTGAAGAGTCAGGTAATAACACCGGAGGCAAATTTATAGAAAAAAGCAGATTTTTATGTACAGGAAATCTTTAATGAACGACAAATGACAGAAGAATACGGTAGTTGGAAGAGAAAGAATAGTTTGGATGCGTATTTGTACAGGCGTAGCGGTAACCCGCCAACTGCAATTTTTGGATAACTTCAACTGTTTCGGTACTCCCTCAAAAGGTCTATGGCTGGAGTGTTGGTCTCCAAGTGAAGCTGATACAGACGCCTGAGCACTCGAAATGCTGCAAGGTTGGCGTACGGAGTAAGTGTGACGGGGTCCAGGTAACGAGCAGGAAGCCCGGTGATGGGACATATTCGCATTATTCGGCGCGGTCGCGGAGCAACTGGAGCGGGGTTGTTCGGGTCGGGCAAGGGTGTGATGGTTTTTGGCATTGAAGCACGAAGGCATTGTTCGTCCGCGAATGTGATCAAATTTCGGCTGCAGCGAGCTGATGGATCGGTGATAATAGGGCCAGCACGAACCGTCGAACTGCAGAAAATGGAGAGTACAGGGGGGCACATGAGACGTGCCAGTGAGATCACCGCACTAGAACGTGAATGGTTCAAGCTACGTGATTCATTGCGCACCTACACCTTGCCTGAATAATATGAGGTCTTCTGGTTCCATGCACTGGAAGTGTGATTTCCCCCTATCCACAAATAGTTCTGCTTAGGCGATACAAACCATGCACACAAAGTCAGAGATCAGAGCTTCTGGGAACATCAACCACTAGAACTCACCAGGCTAACACTATCTACATCTGGTTCTGTTCTCGAACACCAAATCAGAATACAGCAGGTTTCTGAGTTTCTACGTGTTATAGGACATGCTATTTATTCACCCTAGAGCATCCACATATGAGGCTTTCGAAGGGTCCGGGTAACCAGCTGCATCAAAAATCACGCGAGCAATAGAGCTGAACCGATCAAAACAAAGAACAAATGGGATAAGCAATCAGACCTGCCTCCACAATAACGACTTGTGCACCATCTACGTGCGGAAGGAGGACGTCATGGCAACCAGTGGATAAGTGGACAACGATACGAGGCAAACACCGGAAGGGTCACGTGTAGCAAAGTCCAGTGAAAAGCTGGACACGGCTAATAAAAGTACGCAGTCCCCATCGTTACCAACGTTTATATCCGTTTTTGCGTATAAGTGTAAAGGAGGACATTATCGTTTCCGTATGGGTCCCAAGGACAGAGGATAAGTGTAGACAGATTGAACTATGAACAGACTGACCAATTCACACAATATGCAGAACTGGTAGAATATAGCGGCCAATCCGACGTGATCTCCACACATACCTTTGAGGATCGACTGAGACTCCGTACAAATGAGGTTGATCTTCGACCAAAGGTACAGTGAACGAATGGTAACGGATCATGGGGACGGTAGATTTTGATTTTTGGAAATGAACCTTCTTCTTCTCAATTTCCATACGTTGGTACCGAGCTTTTAGAAGGGGGAGAAGGAGGGGCAAGATAGATTTAAAGTTTATACGATAGATCGGGAACATCAGACACCGACAAATGTCGGAAATCATTCAGCCCAATGAGAATGGCAGCAAGACAGCAACTGACCAAGTGGAAATAGGAAACTATCCATTTCAAGTGTGGTTGCGAACACATAACGTAAAGCATGTCAAAGCCATTGAATTCTGGAAGGAAGCAAGGGCGGAACAAGAGCATACATGTCAGAAACTCTGGACTCCCTATGACTTACTAGGTACGGGTCACATAAAAGGAACTCAATAGCCGCGGAAATACTCCAGACTCTAACCACTATCCGGAGGTTTGCATTGAGAAACAACATGCAGATACCAAAGGTGCGATGCATCAGTACTGTCTCCACATTGTTAGAAAAGGACCAAATCAGTGACGTCGTTTGAGAGCTGTAAGGCAGGGAGCTTACTACGCAGCCAGTTTCAGTGTCATCAGTCAAAGTTTCGCCGCTGCTACCAGCCAAATCCAACATCGTCTGCCGATCCACGTGTGGGTGTACAGTCACCTGCCTCGGTAGAAGGGAACGGCAACTAATGCTGAGAGTGCAAGGCAGGCGCCATGGAGAGTGCAAAGACAGCTGGACCGAGCAAATGCACCAGCACAATACCAAGGTCAAACAAGACCACATCTTCCACTGCCGGTCCTGCTAGTTGCCCATGGTCCGACTGACAGCGAGCGTCGCATCGATCCAACGACTACAACTGATATCGTGCTCAGCACAGCAAACAGCAAGACTTGCTGGAGTCTTTGATTTTCAGAGGCAACTGTGGCGCGCTGCTGACGAGATAGCGAAATAAATCCGGAATACGGTGCAAGACCAATCGGCACTCAGAGCATCAGCCCAGGAGGAAAGATTGCCGTATTTCAACGGCTAAATTGTTTCACTTACCTAGCGACCGACGATTTATTTCTTCTGTTAGTTTGGCCTCAGCCAAAAGCTCCTCCTGGGTTAGTCGACGAACTTCTGGCACATTTTTTCGCTGAGCGATTTCTGCCAGCATTGCTTGCCGACGCAATGCAGTGCTGTCATTTCGACGGCTTTTCGATTCTGTTCCCGTAGACTCACTCGTGGAGGGTACCGTTCGCTGTCGCAACACTCGCGATTCTATTGATATGATAAGAGAAAGGGTAACCATGAGGACGGCTTTTAAGTCAGTAGCAAATACAGAGCTTACATCATAGAGAGACACACGTCCATAAGAGGGCTCACATTGCAGGGGTACCTCTCAAAGAACAAAGCATCTATAGAAAAATGATGAAGTGCAAAGAACAAAGCATCTATAGAAAAATGATGCATATTCATTGCTTCCCACGAATCAAAACAGCAATCGGTAGTGTCCATCAAGATTAAGTATGGCCGAAGCCAACCTGTTCTCGAGAAGTCCACAATCCAGGGGTGGTTGCAGACCAATTATCAACACCTCATCAGAAACCGAGAAGTGATGGATTCGTCAAGCTCGTCATTTAAGATCAATACCCAGCTGTCCATCCACCGCATACCCAGTTTGCGCCAACTTGTGTAAATACATAATAATGGCTCAGCTGTAACAAATTTTCCACGCCTAGCTGCCATACCAAACGGGAAAGAACGAGGGCTAAGGTACTGCCAAGTTTCCCAAGCCTAGACAGGAGCAGTCAACACGCAGAGGTTGAGTTCGAACCACGGATCTTCCAATAAGTAAGTCCGCGCTTTAACTACTAGGCCATCTCAAACTTAACTCGTATGTTGTTTGTATAGCCCAAAATAGCTGGAATTTAATGGAAGGACGAAGAAATTCCAAATACCCCGATAACTACGTAACGATCTGACCTAAATCAATGAAGCAGGCACTTTCAATCTACCCAGTGTTAACCGTACAAATAGTGAGAATCGGGTGGAAACATCTGGGTTCCGTGTGTTTAACTTGGGGTGCGAGTAAGCTCTAATCCGGTCACATTGCAAGCTAGTTGGCCTTGGTTACAAGAAAAGCACTACCACATCAGGCTGGCTAATTGATGAGAAGAGAAGAACCAACCAAAGTTGACAGACTCACAACAGCTTTATGAGTTGACACGAAATTTTCAAAGTCACACTGAAACCTTGCGATTCACTGCTTGCCCTCGAATGACCCAAAACAGCAGAATCGCCGATGGATGTAGATAGCACGTGATGTGGCGAAGTTGTCTGGATTGCCGATCGTACTCTTGCGTAAGAGTACATTACAGAAACGTAAAGTTTAAATGAATCGATCTGTTGCTGAGACTACAAGCCGAACTAAGGAAACTCAAACAGAAACGAACGCACCAAAGAATACCTTCACATAGGGGTAAAATGAAGAAAGACACATACGCACCGAATGTAGCCACCTCACCCTCTGTAGAACCGGTGGCTTTTTCTTTTATAGTGGATTTTGGTTTTGGCTCCGTCTGTTCATCAATTTGTTGGGCCGTCGACTTTGAACTCTCTGTGGGTTTGGACCGTTTCGGTTCCTATGTGGACCAAGGGAAGGACCAATTAGCATGCAAGATCTGAGGCTGGTTCAGCTACCGTATTTGAAGCGTAAGACATCTCTATTTGTTGAGTTCTGAGCCTCGACGGTCAGAACAGAAATGGGGAACTGACAAACGAGCAACAAAGGTTATGAATGCGAACCCAGGGACTGTATGGCTGATGATCCGAACTGCCCGATTGATGGGCATATCGACGGACAGACATTTTTTCAAACTGGATTTTCTAATTAGCGAAATATATTATTCATTTGCAAGTAAATTGGGTTTTACGAGAGACACACCTGGGACCCAGCTGAATGTCTCGTTTGTGATGTTTCCAGGCAACTGAATGTGCTGCACTATGTCGCCTCATGTTTTAGTTGGCACGATGTTCGAGATATCGCGATACACGTATATTAGTAATGCATTACTCACAAGGTTGCTGAAAATTCGCCGACAGCCCACGACCGGTTTCGCCCTTCTTGAGGCTCACCAGGTAGGCGCAGTCCCCGAGTTTCCGTCAACCTTATGTTCTGCTTGGAACCAAATTGCACGAAAGTGGCAAAATACACTCATTCGCAAACAATTTTGGTTTTGCGAGAGGCTCACCTGGAACTGAATCTCTCGTTTGTGGTGTTTGCAAGCA